ATCAAACATAGTTCTACTTCTTTCATGTCCAAGTTCCCTGTTAAATTTCATCATTAAAAATTGTAATTTTTGGACGAGAGAAATACTAAATAAATTAACAATATTATTAATTGTTTATTATTACCTTGAAATCATTCTAAGCAAAGTGGTTTTGCCCAGACCATTTCTACCAATTAAACCATAGCGCCTACCAAATGCAAGAGTTAAATCAGCACCTTGTAATAATACTCTATCTCCATATGCAACATCAAAATTTTCTATTCTGATATCCTGTGTCTTATTTACTCCACCTTTGGTTTCCATTCTACTATCTTTTTTACTAGTCATTTGACTAGCACTTGCAGATTCTGTAGCTTGACTTACATTGTTGTTACGTCCTGACAAACCCAATTCATTTATAACTCTTTTTTCTTGTTTCTGTTGTAACTTAGCCTCTGCCTTTTCTAATTTTTTAGCATCCACTTTCTACCATAAAAAAAATCATATAATTATTACTGAAATGACAATTTTATTATAATAAAAATTGTTAAATAATTAGTTACCATGGCATCGTCTCTTGTGGTTACCCATATACTTTTAATTTGTTCTACTTGTGCTTCCAAAGTAGCAGCCATTGCTCCTAGATGAATGGGAGCATTTAATACTTTATTTGCACCATTTTTTCTCCTATCAACTTGTCCTTCTGTATTACCTTTTAACATTTCTAGTAACTTCACACATATTTCTCTGTATAGAAAAGAAAAAAAGAAAATACTTCATATTTCTTGAATGAAAATATTTTATAATGATAATTTTTAAATATATCATTTAAACATGTGCATATATATAAATATATATAAAATTTAATCTTATTACTATAAATCATTCCATACCACTTGTATGCATTACATAAAACACAATTTGCTTCTAGCACGTCATAAATTATCATATTTCCAAGAATCACAATACAAACGAATTCTTAGACATCTATAATTAAAACTTACCTCATAATAATTAAAATTGTAATTTACAAAATAAAATAAAAATAATTAAATAAATAAATATGACAGTTTTCAAACAAATTATAAAATGATTGAAATGTAATATTTACAATAGTTTCATTAACACATATTCAAATCTAATTCTATAAAAAATGGTTTAAATGTATTGTGTAAATACGAGTTTTACAGACCTAACCTCGTTTTCTGGTTTATCCGCTACTTCGTGTAAAACTTCCCCAATAGCCTCATAAATCTCATCACCGTCTTCAAAATCATCTTTGGAACTATCTAAAATACCTATTTAAACAAAATGAATAATATTGAGAATCATATCGTAAACTTTTAAAGGTACATTTTTTTATTCTTAGGTTAATCAGTTGAAATGTACCTTCTACATATTGATATAAATCATCATCTATAGTTGGAAATTGACTACGAATGTATTCACCACACGCTGTCATATTAGCCGATATATATTTGTAAGAATATTTAAATATAAATCTCCTACTAATAAATTAGAAAAACGTCTTGCTTGACGGACCAAACGTCAAACGTTCTTTGATCTTCATGAACACATGTTTACGCCATTTTGAATTACGATACTGTCGTCGATAGATCGATTCGGTCGGTTGACTTTTTGTTAAAAAAAAAGTATTATTTTGTCGTGTTAATTTAATTAAATGATTATTAGAAATAATTGATTGATATTAAATTTATATCAATAGCAAACATTTCCCTTATTAATAATCCTTTCGACAAGAATTCTATATATATTAAACGTTAGTCGCCATCTTAAAACTATCAGAAGTCATTCCTCCTTGCTCGTATTGCGTATCTTCTTATTTGTTGACATTATCAATAATTAAACTTCCGCATTAAGAAGAATGTTTACTGGAGTAAACATAATCGAATTATTGTAAATAGTTGACAATATTCTTGATAAAATGTGTATTAAAAGACAACAGATTGGAAGTGATGAAATTAACGATACGAGCAATGATATTAAAATTGTGGTGCATCGGATTCTTAAGGATTAAAGGTCAATACAGTTACCGATCTTTTTCTCTTTTTTGAAAACATTAGACTTATTTCTAACTGTATATAAAGTGAATTCTTGAATAAACAATTATATAGTTGCATAAAATATTAAGAAAATGGCGACAGATGTCGAGGAATCAGATACAGACGATCATGAAAGACCAGTTCCGCCAAAACGTCAACGTACAAGATGCATTAAGGTCGATGAAAATTATTCCGAAACGGTAATTATTAATTAAAACTTTACAGAGATATTTATAAAACGTTGCTACAAGATTTAACGTATATGATACTTTAATTAATTGCTTGCATATAAAACACATACATACATATATATATATATATATATACATATATATATATTGATACACTTTGAAATATAACTTTTCATTCAAAACAATTTGTTGCATTATCATAAAATAAATAATAATGATTTTTTTAATCAAACTTTCAAATAAATATCATTATCAGGATAATACATCACACAACAGCGAACATACAATACAAAATGCAGAATATGTTGAGTTAGAGGACGTAGAAAGAAGAGAGAAATTAAGGCGATGGCAAGCTTGCCAAGTTGCAACAGGAGTTGTAGACAATACTATTAATAATATGTTGGAAGACCTTATGCCATCTGAATCCTATTCTGTAGAAGAGACAGAATTTCGTTTATTTAGGGGGAATGACATGGAAAATACAGCTGTTATGATGGCCATTCGTAATCACGGTTTGGTTCAATCAACAGAACTTCTCTCTCCACCCAATGACCTCTATAATAATGGGGTGCCTGGCTGTTGGGCTAATAACAATTGGACAAATGTATCGTGTTGTCCATCCAATAATATGCAAAATACAGGAGATTTTTCTAATTCTATAGCTGCATCATCGGCAAATTCCTTGACAATATTTGATCCTATAGAAGTTCCGCCATATATTGAGCCCACTTGGGATATTGATGAAATAGCAGTTAATGATCAGCAAGAAGATTTCCTAGAACGAGCTGTAGCAGAAGCTATCAAGAAAAAAGGCTTAAGTGCATTGAGTGTTGATTACGGATGAACTGTTTCTTTCCACTAATTGCTATACGAATGTATTAATACAAACATGGTATTATTATATATAAGACTATTATATACATAAATAGTATATAATAGCGGTAATTTTGTTCTCATTTTTTAGAAACTTTATTCCTATATCGCAGTTTATTTTATTTAGTAAATATCAAAAGACTTTATATATGTGAACCAAGCGTGTTCATAGAAATTAATATTTGCTGATGGATTTTAACATCAAAATATGCTTGCCTTATGGTCAAAACATTCTTTTATTGCGATTAGTTATTTATGAATGGAGCGAATAATGAAAATAACAATTATTTTTTCTTGATTACATATCTATTTAATAATTAATCATTATTTGTTCATTAATTCATACATATGTGATGTTTATTATAAGCAAAAAACTGTTTTCGTAAAAAATGAAAAAAAGAATATACATACATATTATATATAGACACGTTAAGACTGTAGTATTAGATATTTTATTTTTTATCAAATTGTACATCTGCTTGATTTTAATTTACTTCTTTTATTCAAAAAATGTCATTACATTGAAATTAATAAGAAAATTGAATTATACCCTTACTCTGTATCGTACATATGTTTTTTTTCAAATGTGCCTCCTTATTTTAAGTAAAATATAAAATTAAAAAAAATATCATCGTGCTACAAATAATAATTGAAAAAAGATTAAGATTCTACGTAAAGGAAGCAATAAAAATATAAGATAAAAAGATTTAAAAAATGTAGATAATTTCAAGAATTATAAGATATAGGATCAGTGGACTCATAAATTTTTTCATAGATATATAAAAGTTAAGAGAGGAAAGAAGTTGTCCGAAATGTGAAAAACAGTGGATACGAAAGGTAGTAAGCAAAGCTTTGGAGAGGGATAAAGGAATAAGAGAAGGAGTTGTGAAGAAGAGAGGAGAGGAGAGAAATTTTCTGAGGCAGTCGCAAAGAATATTAGAAAAGAGGCGTTTCAAGACAACGGGAAGTGCAAGCGCGATCACAGACAGAACGTAGTATTCGCGTGCTGTTGACTGCGTGGTGGCACGAGTACGAAGCGTTAGGAGTATAAAGGGGTGAAGGGAAGAGAAAGAACGTGCTCTCTCAAGGCGAAATAGAAGTGAGAGAACGAGAGAGTAAGAAGGAAGAAAGGACAAAGACGCGAGAGAAGTGAGGAGTAGGGGGTATAAGGTTTGGAGTCGAGGGTGGGGGGGAAGTGCGAAGAACCGACGAATCGCAAACGAGAGAGGAGAAACTACGAGCAGTGGGTGCACACGTACAAGGCGTAGTGACTGCATGCCGAGTCGGTACGCGGATTTTGAGCGTTGATGTCGCATTTCTGTGCTGTTTTTCTACACGTTAATATTTAGCCAGTGAAAATAAAGAGTTTTATTCGTTGTCTATCTTAAATCGTTCGTTCCAATAATGGCTTCGGACGAGGAGGTGGAAGAAAATTACGCGGGTGAGTCAAAAATGAACACATTGTTCTTGTACCACCGGAAAGTAGCAAGTTGTCCTCGTCGGCTAAGCAGGACGCGCGCTTTTCGTATGATGGCTGCCGTGTAAATCGCTTTTTGTTGTTGTTATTTTATTTTTTTTATTTTTCTCTTCTTCTCTTTTATTTATAACACGCTTTTTATATTCTTGCATGGTACTATATAATAATGGTAGTTGTATGAATGCATCAAAAATATTGTTTTTTTTCGTGAATGTCTTCTTATGGTTGATTGGGCAATATTTTTTTTTTTCTCTCTCTCGTTCACCCATCTGCCTCTCTCTGTCTCGCTCATTTTTTTTCCTTTTCTCTCCTCTCCTTTCTACTACCCCCCTCACTCTATCTGTCTCCCTCTTTTTTTTTTTCATCTTCTTTCTTCATGAATTCCAATTGCTCGTATTCGATTCGAAGGCGCAAAATTTTATTACTTCAGATTTTGTTAAAGATTCTTCGTAATACATTGCGATTAAACATATATAATTTTTATCAAAAGACGAATTTAAGGTTAACATTTCGCGCCTTGTCCAGGATTGATCGATCCAACGATCGAATGCATGGAATACGATGCAAGTGTTCGGAAAGCGATCGGCATTTGACCATTGCTCTCCGCGTGCCGGAAAACTCTTAAAAAACCGCATGGATTCATTTTCCTTTATCATTAAAATTTAATTTTTAATATTCAGTATGACTCATGCTGTCGAGTTTTTATTTTAAAAATTATTTACTCTTATTCTGTTTTTTTTCTTCACTTTGTTTACGTTTCAAAACGAAGAACATAAAATTGTATTTTCGGTATTGAACAAAAAATTGATGACTTGCAATTAAGTCCAAATCGAAAGAGATAATTTTAATGCAAGTATTAATAAATATGGCAGCTGTTGCACATAAATGTCATGCAAATACCTTAAAGCAAATTTTCAATCCTCACTGTTAATTGCAATTATTTGAAATTATTGAGACAAATTATTTGAACATTTTGAATCAAACAGATCTGTTTTATTTAGTTTCAATCTAGTGTTAATATCAATTTATTACAGTTATTAATTTAAATGTTCCCCCACCGTATATATATATATATGAATATATATACTATATTACTATATTATTATTCTACTATTACTATTATTATGATACTCTTGCACTATTTCTCATGTACAGTTGCGAATATGAAATTATTTGAAATGTGTCGCAACGAATGCTTGTTAGTCTACGATACTTCACGTTATTGTTATTATTACTATTTTTCTTCTTCTTTTTAATATTATTATTATTATTATTATTATTATTATTATTATTATTATTATTATTATTATTATTATTATCATGATCATTATTTTTGTAGGTACATAGTAACTTCGTGACGCTCGCTTCGCTTTTTGATCTAGTGCAGCTGTGTGTACTTCGTGACTGACACACTTATAGGGTTGTTATAATAGCCGGTTCGTGTACGCGAGATTATCAAATATTTCGAATCTTATAATTAACCTATTTTTCGATATTCTCTTGATCATTATTTTCCGTAGATTTGTTTGGAAATAGTTTGGAAAAGTTGACAATACCAATCTAAAGTACGATAAGATTATGAATAAATACTTACTTCGTATGCGTTATGCCCTTTGAAAGAAAATGGCGGACGCACACTCGCACAAAGCATTCGCCGAACGCGGATTAGTCCTCTGTAATAATTTGTACATTTTTGTTAAACTTATTCGTGCATAATACTATGCATCCGTTATATTCGTAAACCGATTTTTCTCGTGTTTCTTATCATCGGCAAGTAATAGTCGTAATAGTTTATAAAGATAGTGAAAAATCGTTTTAATATAAGTTTTAAATTTCGTTTAATAACCGTCAATCGTTCCTTTCAGGTATTAGAATATGGATGGTTAGTAAACGACGATCTAATTCATATATTTCTGTTATAAATAATAATAGTTTTATTTTGGAGGGAAACTTTCCTTTCTCTTTTGTGATTTGTTGTTTTGATATTTTGAGTTGTTTCAAATTGGTGAAAAAATACTCTGATTTATATTTGAATCCTCTTATTTTATTTCAAATAATATTTTATATTTTTTGTCATTTAAATTTTTTATTATAATATTTCATTTATACAGATATATTTTATTGATTTTATGAAGGTTCAAGTGTGGTTTTCATTTTTGCCAAACCCAACTTATAATCACCATTCACATATTGATTTTGTCTGCTTAATACATATAGAAACAACTATATATATATATATGTATATATATTCATATTTTCGCACAATGACGT